CGCACGCACACCACAGGCAGGCACAGACACCTACAGACACACACGCACATACACGTACGCACGCACGCACGCACACCACAGGCAGGACAGACACCTACCAGACACACACGCTCACATACACGTACGCACGCACGCACGCACACGCACAGGCAGGCACAGACACCTACAGACACACACGCACATAACAGTACGCACACGCACGCACACGCACAGGCAGCACAGACACCTACAGACACACACGCACATACACGTACGCACGCACGCACGCACACGCACAGGCAGGCACAGACACACAGACAACCAACGCACATACACGACGCACGCACACGCACACACAGGCAGGCACAGACACTACAGACACACACGCACATACACGTGTACGCAACACGCACGCACACGCACAAGGCAGGCACAGACACCTACAGACACACACGCACATACACGTACGCACGCACACACGCACCAGGCAGGCACAGACACACACACGCACACACACGTACGCACGCACGCACGCACACGCACAGGAGGCACAGACACCTACAGACACACACGCACACACACGCACGCACGCACGCACGCACACACACAGACAACAGACACGCTACACGCACGCACGCACACTACAGACACACACGCATCGCACGCACACGTACGACACACACGCACACACACGTACGCACGCACGCACGCACACGCACAGGCAGGCACAGACACCTACAGACACACACGCACACACACGTACGCACGCACACACATGCACACGCACAGACAGGCACAGACACCTACAGACACACGCACACACACAAACCCATCTCCCGAAAGTTTCCGAAAATGGGACCAACCGATGCACGTTTCATGGACCCCCTCACACCTCTTTCCCTCCTTCTTTTCTCTTTCTTTTTTTCTCCCCTGTCTCTCTCCTCCCTCTCTTTATCTTCCTTCACCTCTCTCTCTTTACTTTGCTTTCCTCTCCTCCACCTTCTTTCCACTCTCTCTCGATCTCCTTTCCTTTTAATCACCCTCCTTTCCCTCCCCTCCCTTTCCTATCCTTCTCTCTCTTTCTCTCATTCTTCTCTTTCTTCTCTCTCTCTCTCTCTCACACACAACACACACACACACCCTCCTCTCCTCTTTCCAATTCCCTCTCGAACCCCTTCCATCTCCCTCTCTTCCCCCCACCCCCTTCCACCCACCCACTCTCCCTCCCTTCCCCTCCCTTTCCCCCCTTCACCCACTCTTCCCTCCCTCCCCTCCCTATCCCCCCCACCCCCCCCCCCCCATAATCACAGCTTTCTCACGAGAATTATACCCCCATTCACGCACCATATGATTACCTCATAGTGCCCCGGATCCCTAACTAATCTCAGCATGATACCTGGGGATAATTAGGGACCCTCGCAACGTCGTTAAATGCGGCTGCAAGGATGGGGCAACACGCAAAGAAAACGGGGGGTTGGGGGAGGTTGGGAGGGGGATTGGGTGTGGGGAGGATAGGGAGGTTAGGGAAGGGGATTGGGGGGATAGGGAGAGGGGAGGGGATAGGGAGTTAGGGAGGGGATTGGGGGTGGGGAGGATAGGAGGGAAGGGGGAGGGAGAGGGATGGGGAGACGGGGAGGGGGAAGGATGGGAGACGGGGAGGGGGCATGATAGGGAGAGGGAGGGATAGGAGGGAGAGGGGGAGGGGGAGGGGGAGGGAGACGGGGAGGAAAGGGAAGGGATAAAAGAGGAAGAGGGATAGGATGAAGGGATATGGAAAAGAGGGATAGAAGAAAGGACGAGTGGGGAGGGAAGCAAAGGGAAGAGAGAAAAGGGATAACAAAAAAAAGAGGTAAAGGTGTGTGGGGAAGAAAGAAAGACTAAAGAAGGAGGAAGTAAAAAGGGTTAGAAAGGCAAAAAGCGAAAGGGCAAGCGAGAGAGAGAGAAGAAGAAGAGAGAGAGAGAGAGAGAGAGAGGAGAGAGAGAAGAGAGAGAGAGAGAGAGAGAGGAGAGGAGAGAGAGAGAGAGAGAGAGAGAGAGAGAGAGAGAGAGAGAGAGAGAGAGAAGAGAGAGAGAGAGAGAGAAGAGAGAGAGAAGAGACACACGCAATTAATTCCTCAAAAAACAAAACAAATGGACAAACAGACACGAAAACATCAACCCGAGACCACCACACCACCCTCGTCCTCAACCTGACCTCGTCCTCGACCTCCAACTCATCTCGCTCTCCTTATCGCCCTCGCCTCGACCTCTCATCTTCTTTCACCTCGCCCTCCACCACCCCTAGTCCTCAACCTGACTCGTCCTCGACCTCCGCCAATCGCCCTCCACTTCGCCTCGTCCTCGACCTCACCTCATCTTCTAACTCACCTCGTCCTCCTCCTCAACCTCAACCTGATCTCGTCCTCGACCTCCACACCCTCACCCTCGACTCACTCTCAACCCTGACCTCGTCCTCGACCTCGTCCTCGTCCTCGCCCTCGGCCCATGTCACACTCGGTCGTGCGCATAAATATTTTCCCTTAAATTTCGCCGCCGCCGGACCAGTGCCATTCGAGGGCGCGCTGATGCCTCTCAAGGGGTCGTGGTCGCGGGAGGGACACAGGGCCACGATGCAACGGATCCTACTCTCTCGCTCTCTTATTGTTTTCTCTCCCTCTCCCTCTCCCTCCCATGCTCACTCTCTTCTCTTTCTCTCGTCTCTCTTTTCAATTATCTCTCTCTGTCTCTCTCTGCTGTCTGTTTCACACTCTCTTCCAATCTCTCTCTCTCTTCTCTCTCTCTCTCTCCTCTCTCTCTCTCTCTCTCTCCTCTCTCTCTCTCCTCTCTCTCTCTCTCTCTCTCTCTCTCTCTCTCTCTTTCCCTTTTGGCCAGACAGCAGGATTACGAACTGCACGTCATCGTGTCATTAGCACTGACTCGGGTGATGACAGGTGCATTGTGCATTTGGAAAGGGGGGGGCATGTGTACGTGTGTGTGTGTGTGTTGTGTGTGTGTGTGTCCTTCCGTGCTTGCGTTCGTGTGCACGCTCGCTTACGTTAACACTGCCGCCCACGTCCACAGGTATTCCTCCGTGCCCTCCGCGCGTCCACTCAAAGTCCCGCATCCACTTGAAGAGCCGACACGCCCCCCCCCCCGAACGCATCCGCACGCACGCACGCAAACAATTACCGCTGATGAAACCGTAAGTTAATTACGAGGCCTCAGCGCGGAGGAAGCAATCTAGGGCCTGCAGTGCGGGAGAAACTATTCCACTTTCTAATTGCATTGGGCGGACGACGCGAGAGGCACGGGCGGCCCCTCTCCCCCTCTCCCCCCCTCCCCCTCTCCTCCCCCGCGCCCGCACCCACGCGCCGAGGACGGGCGGCCTCGGACACGGCGGAGCGCACGCCCCTGCCTTCGCCGCCTACGATAACGGCGGGTTTTTTTTTAGCGGCACTTTCCTGCTGATGGAAGCAACGCGGAAATGAGAGAGAGAGAGAGAGAGAGAGAGAGAAACCAAGAGAGAAATATAAAGAAACAGAGATAAAGACAGAGAGAGAGAGAGAAACCAGGAGAGAAAGATAGAGAGAAACAGGCAGATAAAGACAGAGAGAGAAAGAGAGAAACCAGAGAGAAAGAGAGAAACAGACAGACAGAGAAAGAGAGAGAGAGAAACAAACAGAAAGAGAGAGAAAGAGAGAAAAAAATCCTGCACTGCTGATGAGGAGGAAACAAAATCGCAGCGGCCAGCCTCCCGCGGACAAAGCTTCCCCTGTTCACAAGTCACACGAATAATCATTAAAAAAAAAGAAAAAAAAGAACACAGCTGAAATAAAAGTTCCAGCAGAGAGAAAGAGAGAGAGAGAAAAAAGGCATCGGTAAAATATGATAATATGCGCATGACTTGCCATCCGGAAAAATAAATGAAATTTTTTCGCATAAACGAAATATATTTTCCATACTCGCCAACGCGCACGGCAAGCGCGGAAGCCAAACGGAATTGCGAATGAATATGAACAGTTTTATGAACATTTCTCTCCGTGTAATATAGCGTATGTACAACTGTGCATGCATTGCCGATCGCTACACACACACACACACGCACACACACACACGTGCACACACATATAACACTCCTCTCTCACACGCACCCACACCATCACACGTACAGAGAGAGAGAGAGAGAGAGAGAGAGAGAGAGAGAGAGAGAGAGAGAGAGAGAGAGAGAGAGAGAGAGAGAGAGAGAGAGAGAGAGAGAGAGAGGAGGAGAGAGAGAGAGGAGAGAGAGAGAGAGAGAGAGGAGAGAGAAGAGAGAGAGAGAGAGAGAGAGAGAGAGAGAGAGAGAAGAGAGAGAGAGAAGAGGAGAAAGAGAAAGAGAGCGAAAGAGAAAAGCGAAGAAAAAAGCGAAGAAAGAGAAAAGAATCAAAGAAAGCGAGCGATAGAGAGAAAGAAAGAAAGAGCGAAGAGAGAAAGAAAGAAAGAAAGACAGGCAGAAAACGCCCACGTAAATCCCCGACACTTTACGACACCCTCCCCCCCCACCATATTCCCCCCCCCCCGACGACACAGGTTGGGCCGAAACGTTCCAAGTCAGCGAAGGCGACGGGCGGGGAGTGACCGAAGGCGGAGATAGGAGGAGGAAGAAGGACGGAGACGATAAAGACGGGGAGAGGGAGGGGGAAAGATGAGGAGATATTGTGGATGTGGAGGGGGGGAGCGGGAGGGGGAAGGGGAGGGTAGGAAGCAGGAAGCGGGTAAAGGGGAGGGGGAGGAGTAGGGGGGAGGAGAGGACGAGGAGGAGGAAGGGGAGAAAGTGAGAGGAGGAGGGAGTGGAGGAGAAAGGAAAATGGGATGAAGGGAAAGAGAAAGAGAAAGAGAAAATAAGAAAATTAAAGAAAAAAAAAATGAAGATCAGAAAAAAGCCAAAGAAAAAAAAAAGAAATTAAAAAAAGAAAAAAAATTCCTCATTAAACTGGCATCTGCACAAAGGCGCCTCCTCGCGGCGTCCTATGGAGAGAAGGAATCCCTTAAGCCGACCCTTTATGCGAGGCGACCCCACGGACCCCGAGGTAAGGCCAAGGACACCACGAGACGAGCCTAAGGACGCCCCCAAGGACACTACCCCCCCCAAGGACAACCCCCTTTTTCCCCAAGACACCTCCAAAGGATACCCCAGGACACCGCCTCCCCAAGGACATCCCCACAAGGACCCCCAAGGACACACCCCTCCAAAGGACAACCCAAGGGACACCACTCCAAGACAACCCCCTCCCAAGGACCGCCCCCTAAAGGACCAATCCTCCCCAGGACACCCCTGCCCCCCAAGGACACCCAAGGGAACAACCCTCCCCAAGGACCCCCACCACGCCCAGGGGACAAACTCGGCCAAAGGAAAACCCTTCCCAAGGACTACCGTCCCTCTCTAATGGGACACCCGCAATAATGCAAGCGCCATAAAATGCAAGCCCAGAACCAAAAAAATAATGCAGGCCCAGGCAAGCTCAGGATCATCTCAAGATAAACCGAAGCAAGCCGGAAGCAATGAACTGGAAAAGCAAGATCAAATGCAAGATCAAAGCAAGCCGAAAGCAACTCGCGAGGCAAACCTGAAAAGCAAACGAAGTCGGAGGTGAGTCCAAGCAAAGCAAGCCTACAAGCAATCCAAAGCAAGCCTCAAGCATCAAAGCAAAGCCTAGTAGAAGTCCAAGGAAAGCCTAGAGGAAATCAAAGCAAGTCCTCAAAGCAAGTCTAAAGCAAAGCCTAGAATGCAAGTCAAAAGCAAGTCCAAAGGCAAAAGCAAGCCTCAAGCAAGTCTAAGCAAGCCTCAAGCCTCAAGCAAGTCAAAATCCAATCCACCAAAAACCCAAATCCAACCCAAAGCAAGTCCAAACCCAAAAACCCAATCAACAACAAAACCAAACAAGAAAACCCAAAAGGCCAACCCAAGCAAGTCCAAGACAGCCCAGGCCAGCCACAGCGAGCGAAGGCGCCCACATTCCCGAGACACAATAATCCAGACAAAATAGCCGGACATAAATCCAACAGACGTAAGATAGCTAGAATAAAATATATATTATAATGGTGGATAGCAAAAAAAAAAAAAAAAAAGAAAAAAAAAAAATAAATAAAATAAAAAATAAAAATAAAAAATAAAAATAAAAAAATAAATAAAAAATATAAAATAGTAAAAAGATAATAAAAAAAAAATAAAATAAAATTATAAATAATAAAAATAATAAAAAAATAAACTAATAAAATAATTAATAATAAAAAAGATAAAATAGTTGACTTATTTTTTATTTTCTTTTTTTTTTATTACCATTTTTTTTGATACGGTGCACAAAGGGATCTAAAGCTTAAGATTGTGGTCTTCACACAGAAGAATTGTTGGTGCTTCACACACGTGAGGATGATGATGATTGGTAGAATAAGAAGAGTAATCTACGAAGAATTATATAACAATCAAGAATAATAATAAGAAGGTACGTAATCGAATTAGATAGAACAACCGAAGATAAATGATGACGAGTTAAAGCACTGAATTTATTTGAGAATGACGAAGGCGCTCGGTGCTTAACACGTGTACTGATATCAAATCAACGCAATTTAAGCGAGAACGCGAAAGCCAAAGCGGACCGTGAGCGCGATGGAGACAGGGCAAACGGCGGAAGGAGCCGCTAGATCCCTCCGCAAGCACAACCGCGACAAACTTATAGGTAACCACATCTATAGCCACAACCAACAAGCAGCACAACCACAGTCAAACGCACAGGGAGACAACACCACACCAACAACTAGCCAGCATACCCGAACAGTACACTACCGTGGGGGGACACCGATGACAAACACAGCCAGAGTCACACACCATCAAACCGTACAAGTCGAAACGCACCAGCCACACACAAAACAACAACAGCAGCCAAACCGCAGTCAAAACACAGCCCGCGTTGGCCGGCCACGCCGCGGCCTGCCGGGCGGACTGCGGGCCGGCCGGCGTGGCGGCCTCGGCAAAAAAGTTTGTCCTTACAAGAGTCCATTAACATTGTCCCATCGGACACAAAAACCTTGAACAACACAGAGAAATAATCTCGCCCAATAGCATTTTATATGGCCCAATAAAACCCGACGAGTTAAATGGTCGCTGAATTAATGAGCAGAGAAGATGAAGTCCAGCGAATGTGGTTCAAGAAGTTCGCCAGAGGTAATGTTTTTTGCGCCGC